ACTTAATTAAATTTAATTAAATTGTTTATTTTACTGTTACAAATCAGTATAATATCCGTTGCGAAAGTTGCAATAACCAAAATTATTTCTGCAATAATACTTTGATAGGTAAATGATTTTTCTTACTGGATTTCGACTAAAAATTTGAAGAAAAAAGAATTGCAATGTAGAGAGCAGAATCTAAAATAAGCGATGGAAAATGTAACAAAATTAATGTAATTCGGCGAAATTAGTACAGCGAGAATGGCGAGCGCAGATTGAACTATCGGAGCCGAGTGCCAAATCATAAGTTTCTGTTAGGCGAACTACAAACATGCCACTATTCGCACAGATGTCAGACGCTGAAATATAATTGCCCCTGAATTGCTCCCCGAGAGTCTTCGGGAGTTCTATGCTGAGTATTTGCCGATTACTCGCCAGCTGTATTTTCAGCAAAGTGCTGTGGTTAAAACAGTAATTCGTCATAATGATATCAGTGGCAAAATGCTTTCAGTGCGAGGTCGCTTAGTACGTATCTCGTGATTTCCTTAGCCCCTTGACTTATGATTTATTTTACCGACTGTGCAATAAAAGCGTCGGTAATTTACTGTTTTAATACTGTATTAGGTAAGAAAAGCTAATATATTATAGGTTAATTAGATTTGCTAATGCTGTCGTTCTATTATTTGAAAATTCTATTATCCGGACACATTTGTCTCCCTGTTAGTTCCGATATTCGAGGTTCTACTGTATTTAGTATCCGATAGACTCATCGCGAGGGTAATACGAATGTATTCGGATATCCGAATCCAAATCATGCGAGTACCCGAATACTTGAGTAGTAAACTGAGTAGTTATCCGAGTATTCGGATATCCGTAAGTCGGGATTTCTGGGGACTAAATTGAGTACTTATCCGAGTATTCGGATATCCATAAGTCGGGATTTCTGGGGACTAAATTGAGTACTTATCCGAGTATTCGGATATCCATAAGTCGGGATTTCTGGGGACTAAATTGAGTACTTATCCGAGTATTCGGATATCCATAAGTCGGGATTTCTGGGGACTAAATTGAGTACTTATCCGAGTATTCGGATATCCGTAAATCCGAATTTCTGGGGACTAAGTTGAGTAGCTGTCCGTGTATTCGGATATCTGTAAATCCAAATTTCTGGGGACTAAATTGAGTACTTATCCGAGTTTTCGGATATCCGTAAGTCCAGATTTCTGGGAACTAAATTGAGTAGTTATCCAAATACTCGGATACTCAAGATTTGGATATCCGCAAGTCTGGATTTCTGGGGATTAAATTGAGTAGTTATCCGAATACTAAATCCGAATTTCTGGGGACTAAGTTGAGTAGCTGTCCGTGTATTCGGATATCTGTAAATCCAAATTTCTGGGGACTAAATTGAGTACTTATCCGAATACTCGGATACTCAAGATTCGGATATCCGTAAGTCTGGATTTCTGGGGATTAAATTGAGTAGTTATCCGAATACTCGGGTACTCAAGATTCGGATATCCGTAAATCCAAATACTCGAGTCGAAATTGAGTAGCTATCTGAGAATTCGGGTATCCGTAAGTTCGAATTACTGAGGACTAAATTGAGTAGCTATTCGAGTATTCGGATATCCATAAATCCAAATTTCTGAGGACTAACTAAGTTAAGTAGCTATCCGAATATTTGAATATCCGTAAATCCGAATTTCTGGGATCTAAATTGAGTATCTACTCGAGTATTGAGACATCCATAAATCGGAATTTCTGGGGTCGAAATTGAGTAGCTATTCGAGTACTCGAATACTCAAGATTTTGATATCCGTAAGTCTGGATTTCTGGGGATTAAATTGAGTAGCTACCCGAGTACTCAGATACTCAAGATTCGAATACATATGCGTAAATCCTAGTTCCAGAAAAATTTAATACCATATAACTTAATTTAAATCATTGATACTTCAATACCATCCTAACATTTTCGATTTATGTATATCTTGTTAATTTAAAGAAGAAATGCGATCTTCTTGCAGATCACAGAATGAATTAAACGTTTCACATGCCTAGTTGACAACACTGAGACCCAATTCGCGTAAGTTATTTACCAGGTAGATATAATTGCCAAGCGACCATGCCAATTTAATGGCTACGTAAGGGGAGAAGTGACATTCACCTCGTCGTCCGTGTTTAACATCGTTTTAGGGAGACAGGAACTCACGTAACTGTATTATACGACGGAAATTAATTAGATCGTAGTCTCACCAGACATAGAAAGTTTTCGGATTCGTTGAAACACGATTAAATGCCCAATTAAACCTCGTATCACGAATTTTGCCCGTTCAAAGGCCGTTTTTACTTGTGACTTTGAAATAAACCACACAATTTGCAATTCTTAACGTTAGCTGGAATATTTCCGAAACATTAGCGGGTTAGAATGTCGACTTTTTAATTAAATATTACTCGAGTATCAAAAATCACGAAAATATAATATTAGATTTAGTTTTCATATTAAAGTCAGCAATGCAATTCGTTGAATCTTACAATATTAAAATTAAAAAAAAAAAGCACAGCAATTGTATTTTCCTTGCTATCATGTGCAATCAAGAACAGTTAAATAATCATCGATTCTGAGTCACGTATACCTTGACACATTTTACAATTTGAATAGCTGCCGGAGGGGATAACGCAGCAACAGCTGGTCTTAATTCACCTAATTGAAATCTTCAGCACAATACTCTCCAAGTAAACAATATTTTCTCACATTCGCGACACTTGTTCCAAACGAGAAAGAAAACAAACAATAACAAAACAATACAAATAAATTTGTTTTTTATTTACGTTTTAAGCCGTTCATTTTGAAGAAAAGACACACTTTTGCCAACGTATTAAAAGAGCATTAATTCATAAAAATCCGAATCTCTAAGAGAAAGAAACTGCTGAAAGGCGTTTTCAATATCCTCCTGTTTCCTAAATCGTTCTCCTGCAAGGAAATTCTCAAGCGAGTGGAAAAAGTGAAAATCTGTTTGGAGATAAATTAGGGGAATATGGAGGATGAAATAGAACCTCGGTACCTAAATAGTTGATACAATGTTTGTACAGTTGTTGTTGCTACATGCGGTCTGGCATTGTCATGCAAAAGTTAGGGTCTTTTCTGTTGACCAAGGTTGGCTGCTGTACCTTCAGCTTTTGGTAGACGACCTCCAATTCGTTACTATATGACTCTGCACTGATTCCAGATCTTAGGAAACCATAGTAAATTAATCCCGAATCAGATCACCAAACTGTGAGCATGATTTTTTCTTCAGTTCGTTTTGCTACATGATTACAGTGATTCCAGGTCTTAGGAAACCATAGTGAATTATAACAATAATTATAACCGCAGTGAGCACGATTTTTTCAGGTGTGAACGATTTAGGTTTGAATTAGGAAGATTCATTTGCGTCCTTTGTTAAGACCATGTGTTCAGGCTTACGCTACGTCGACACAGGACATCGCCGTTTTCGAGAAAGTCAAGTATTTTCAAAGGATGTATATTTTCTCACGGACTTGGGTCTAGCTGGGAAACAATAACAACTTCCTCTCGAAGGATCGCCAGCCAGACGCATCGCAAGTCCACACGCAGTCAAAAGAGGGGCCTGGGACTTATGGGTCGGTTTTCCGAACTGAGACCCTTTGTTACGACGTCCTGCAGGCCTTCTTTACCGAGCGAACACTTGGCCCGTAGGTGTTGCGCAATCGGGAAACCGCCCCAAATTTTAATTGGACAATCCTAGGTCCCACTTTTCTGCAGTTCCTTCCAAAATAGGACTCGGAGGGAATTTTCCAGGACGATGGAGGGAGCGTTTCTCAACTTCGGTAGAAAGCGTCCCTCCATCGAGACGGAACTAAACAGAACCTCGTATTGAACAGAACACCTCGCGACTGAGAAATAGTTAAGAAATAGTCAAACGGACAATAAATTATTTGTGTTGTAAATAACCAAGTTTTATTTGCTAAATATTCATAATTTCAACATCCTTTCTCATAGAGATTCAAATTTGTATGCACGCGGAATTAATGCTCTTGCGATACATCGTCGAAAGTCTGTAAAAATGTTTCATTTCAATGGAGTTATGTTTTTTTCAAAATGAACAGCTTATGACCTGATAATTCGGTTTAGAAGAAACCAGAAAAAAATCAACGAGGGAAAAATGAAAGAGAAATAATGGAAAAATTGGTTCTTGAAAAGAAGAAGACAGAAATTGAATTAATCAGTAAATCATTAACCTGCTTTCTTCTGCGTCATCGGAGTTAACTCTCGATGGTTGTTGTCGCTCGTCGAACGCGTTTGTCTCTTCGACCGATTTCTCGTCGTCATTCTCGTTCGCGGGCTGCTTACTCGGAGCCGGATTTAACGTGAACAACGCCTTGTAACGACCGCTTCTGTGTCGCAAGAGTCCGGCATTCACCGCGTGCTTCAGCGCCCGATGAACCTGGAAACTTATCTCGTAAAAAACGGCACATGGAGCGCTTCGATAGACGTCATTATGCGTTTCCTTGTTTATCTCATTTATTTCAATATATGAAGTAATTCACGCCGTTATCACGCGAATTGTTCAATATCAGGAAGTGCTCAGTGTCAGGAAAGTATCTTAATCCCTGTGTCATACGTTTAATAATACAAAAGCGTAGAGATTGTAAGCAGAATAGTTTTGCAAACGGTAATAAAATTGAATTTTTATTTTTATATCCGCTGCTTGGAATTTAATAATTCGTTAACGGTAAACGATGATATTTAACACTAAAACTACCGACCGGGTCGAAATGACCCATTGGCGACTTTCCAGAAGTGAACTTTTATGTAAGTAAACCGTGATTGGAAAATTCGGATTCATACCGATACAAATGGAAGCATACATGTAGAATATAAATTCGGAAAGTTACAAGCGATAATACTTACCAACATAGAACATTCAGGTTTTTTCGAAAGATGCTAATGAGTCATTTTGACCCGGTCGGTAGTTTTAGTGTTAACGAGTATACGTATAGTCTGTATTAATTTTTTAATACAGTGGCTGAAGTATTAATTTTTCTCTATTTTCCGTTTGATTGACACAATCTTCGTCCTGTCTTAACTGGAATCCAAACTTCTCTACATCTTCGTATAATTTCTGTACGTACATAACGGGTGTCCTAGTACTTACGAACGGCAGTGTACGCGAAAGATTTCATCTACAAAATACAGTCGGTAATGAAGTCTGCGATTGTCGGTAATATATAAGTTGGCGGTCTCGTCTATACAAATTAACCGACGAATTTCATTTTATGCACAAGAAACTGTTTCCGAATGATATTCTACGGTTAGGAGATTTAATTGAATTTTCACGTTTCCCGGCTGTAGAGCGGCGATATAACGCTAAGATGGCCAGAAGCGAGCGCCTCTCCGATCGAGTTTATAGTCTTTAAAAGTTCCGGCATTAAAGAGAATGCTCGAAGTGGTGGCTTCTTCCGAGCTGGTTGCAAGCTTCGAAGCGTCTGATGGATCGTCAAAGGCGTTCGAAGATTCCTAGGGCGCTTCGAATTGTTTGACAACCATCTACAGCATGATCGCGGGGGATCTTGCAAATTAGCGAAACCAGTCTCTCGTAAATTATTTTCTCGTCGTACTTGAGTGTAGAGAATTTGTAACTTCATCCGGTGGGGAAGAACGTGCTCGTAGATTTAAATGTATTTTTCCGGGGAAATTTTACCGTCTCGAGAAGTTAGGCAATGCTAGGTGAAAATTTTTCAGGAATTGTTACAATTTAATTGAAGGATATTTTCCTAAAGAATTTTCTCAATTTTGTGCAGCATTTGTAATGTGTCGATAGATGTTTGCAATTTCACGGAATATTTTATCATTCGCGGAGAGTAGGATTGTTAAACATTGGACAAATTTCATTTCTTTGTTAATTTTAGATATGTTGTTTTTATTCTATTGCGCTTAGTCGAACGGTTTTGTGTTGATAATAGTAAAATTTATCCTGGAGTAAATTACATACGCGAATAATTTAGCAGAACGAAATGAAAATTTAGAGTTACTGAATATGCATGTATGTATCTTGCCAATAGAATTCATTTCGATTAATTCTCATCAATATCGTAGTTCCAATCAGTCAAAATTGCACGATCGTGAAATCCAAAAAAGTAGCGAAGTGGAAAAGCTGTTCTCGTAATGACCAAATGTAACAAGTACAGCACAGTAGTTTGCATTAAAAATATCAAATAGTAATTGTACTTTATCGAACTAACCTAAATTTTTTTATTCATTTTCCAAAAAATTCCTACGTTCGTTAATGCATCGAATAATTCCAAACTTCTCGCACACGATGCATTTCGTTCCCTGCTGACTAATACCTAATGTAATTTATCGTTACACAACTGATAAGACGGATTTTTATTATTCGAAATAACAAAGCTCGACCTTTGTCCAACAAGCAAACTGCATTCTACGTCTTCTGGGCTTATCAATTGCGTACGATAAGTTTATATAACTCGTACTTCCCATTAAAGAACCTGCAGTTATAATCAATATACAGGGTGTCCCAGTTTGTTTCCGATCAAACTTTGCCAGCATGTTCCATGGGTATAAGTGAGAGAAAAATGTTATATAAACATAGGTCGTTCGAAGCTTCGTTAAAAAGTTACGACAAAAATACGAGATGCGAAGGGAATGGTAACGAACTTGAACAAGAATGGCGCTAGCAGAAGTTACATTCACCATCTTCAACGACCTCAGATCGTAAACACAGCTCGCATAAACAGGCTATACAGATGTACATATCGCTGATCTGTTTTTATTTTGTAACATAACCTCACATTCGTTACCATTCCCTTCGTATTATTGTTATAACTTTTTAAGAAAGCTTCCAACGACCTATGCTTGCATGACATTTTTCTCTTACTTACACACATAGAATCTATTGACAAAGTTTTATCGAAAAAAACTGGGACACCCTGTATACAAAGAACATTCGAATATGTGTACAAAACTTGGACACCCTGTATACAAAGAATATTCGAATACGTAGGTCTATAGAACTGGAACACCCTTTATATAATACATAAAACATTCGAATATATGTACAAAACTGGGACACCCTGTATACAAAGAATATTCGAATACGTAGGTCTATAGAACTGGAACACCCTTTATATAATACATAGAATATTCGAATACGCGTACAAAACTGGGACACCCTGTAGATTGAACATTAAGAATCACAGTTGTTACGAGTGGATAAAGTGGTGCGAGATAGGGTATCGATTCGATGGTGAATGTCTACGAATGAAGCCGAATCGGTTGGATTCGTACGAAATTAATTTACGCGCGCCTCTCTGTCACCTGCACCGTCAAGTTCCTCGGCGTGCTCTTGGAAGTTTGCCGGAGGAAGTCGAGGACGTCCCTCACGGTGGATCCTTTCCCCTCGCACAGATGCACTACGGCATCGAGAACGCGATTCATTAGCCGTGGTTTAGACGCGTTCACCATGGTTGGATTCGCCTCGAACTTCGCGCAGCTATGCTACGTAGAGAAAACAATACGTTCGTTTGTACAGCGAGCATAAAGAAACAATCAACGATATCTGAATCGTACGGGAAAATTTGGGGCGTTCCGTTTTAACTGGAGGATCGAGTTAAATGGATTGGCAATTAACCGAGGGGGAAATGTAGTAGTTTGTTCATTAAGGTTATGTTAATTGATCGTAGTCATTTTTGTACTTCGTTGAATATTAAATATGAGAAGTTTGAAATATTTGGTATAATACTTTCATTGGGTACCAAAATACCTTTGGTTTCGAAGGATAATGCATAAAATTATTAATAAAATTATTAATATTAATAATTATATTTAATGTAATTTTTGTTTCCTATTTAATAATAATAATTATTATTATTTATCAGTTATAAACACTCATTAATTATTAATAATTTAGATATGTGTTTTTAATGTCTCTAGAATTACACATGTGGTAGAAACTCCAGGAAAAAGGAATGCATTTAACGCAGAGATTGATAAATCAAATTATTGAATGATTGAACTAATAAGAAGTACAACGATGATAGTTAGAAAGGTTAATAGTAGGATTCAATTTACCTTACGTTAAAAAAATTTAAGATAACATCAATTTTACGATCAACGTGTCCACATCACTGGATAATATTGATCCGATTCGCCTAACCATTCGCCGATTTATAATCGACCGCAATAATGCGAATAGGAATTTTTTTCAAACCATAAATTTTATTAAAACATGTTGAATTCCACTGAAATCAACAGCAGACTGACAGATACGTTGCTTGGTACTTCTGTTGTTATTTTTTACTCGCAAGCTCAAGCTCCTAATTTCAATGTGTTTCAGTATGTAAAAGGAAAAATTTTAAACATATTTATCAAAATGACACATATTTGGCATAAAACTATTTTTCTACAAAAATAAATAAAGCCTGACATTTCCGTAGAATTAATCTACATTTCGCATATCCTAACCTCAAATATTAGGTCGTGTAATATGCAATGTCGGATTTTTCAGGGAGAAATGAAAATCAGTTTTTAAATTCAAAGGAACATTTCCCTTAACACTAGAATTACCAGCCGAGTCAGAATGACACATTACCGACTTTACAAAAGTGAATTTTTACATAAGTAAACTATAATTGGAAAATTCGATTCATATCGATACAAATAGAAGCATACCTGTAGAAAATAAGTTTGGAAAGTTACGGATGATATAACACTTACCAGTATTGAACATTCACGTTTTCTCGAAAGATGCTAATGGGTCATTTTGACCCGGTCGGTAATTTTAGTGTTAAATTCCCAAACAGTAACTAACTTATCAAGAATTGTACGAACTTTAAGTTAACATGAAAAACATTCAGAACTTTTCAACACTCGATCGCTGGAAATCATTAGAAATCCATTTCATTTATCTATTATCACATCCATTTTACTGCTATACATATGTAATAAAATTCGCTAAAAATAAACATTAAATATCTTCCCAATCCTGTCGGTAATTTCACTGTCAAAAAATTGCGAATTTATTATTTGAAACAATTACAAAATATGCTTTCGAACAAACAACAAAAATGTATGAATCATGGTGTCATTTTATTTGGAGATTGATACGTATAAATCGAGGGAAAACGTGACCCGCTTTCGAATCGTGGAAAACGGACTATTCGGGGTGAACTACGCTGACATGATTTTCACCTTTTTTTCGAGCGAAATACGATGCCACGTCTTTAAAGTGGACGAATCTTCAGCCCTGAGAGTCTCTTCGTGTGTACTTTCGCAGCCAGTTTCTGCGATTAGAACTGGCGACCCGTTTAATACGAACGTTTATTACGCTCGTATTTAACGTAAAAATGAACCTGAAGCTTGTTTCTCGAGACATACTAATTTGTCACCGTACATTTAGCGAACGATACAGTTTTTCACGTTTTCGTGCTTCTCCGTGACACGTTCTTTATTAATTAGCTGTGCATTTAACCAAAGTATTTGTTAATAATAGAAAATTAAAAATATTTCCACCTTGTCAAATAGTAGGTAATTAAATGAAAAAATATTCACGTGGAAATGTAATCACTACACGATAAATGTATAGCACTGCATATGGTGTGATTACAGTAAGGGGCGAAACTGAACCAATCGCAGAAATTTTCAACGAAAGTGTTATTTATTATTGTGTAAAACGAAAGAAAATAAAAATACTAATTCCTTCCTTATTGTCTTAGGAAACGCATACAATTTTTTAATATCTAAAGTCTGTTCTCCATAGGTTGTAATAAATGAAATTCGTAGAATCAGTTTCGCACCATCACTTCAAGTACTAATTTGCAATTTTCATTTTACCTTAATATTTTGTACAGTATTCTTGTGAAATTTCGTTCCACTGTTCTTCAACACCAGCTTGTAATTTCTATACAATAATAAGTAATACTTTTGTTGAAAATTTCTTACAATAATATTATACTAATCATAATTCCACAAGCATCATCATGATGGAAATATAATTACATACTATGTTATGAATGTTATAAAAAAAGCAGCATATTTATAAACTATCGAAACGTTTTCATTCAGTTCTCTTTATCTGAAATCAAAAATTGACGAGACGTGGAAAAAAATGATTTTTCAAACATGCTACGCTTTAATTCCAAGTTCGTAAAGTGCTACTTTGAACGTACATTTAGAAAATTACACCAACAAACTTAAATACTACTTGCCAGTAATACAAACATGTAATATGTTTTTCAAACCAAGTACCACCCTGTATACACTATCGTTCAAAAGTTTAATAGCATCCGTTAAAATACAGTAAAACTGAGAGTAACTGTAGAAGAAAAAAATTGAAAATTAGGCGAGATATGAAACTTCAAATTTGATAAAAGGAACTTAGAGTTTTATGGACACGAATTGTAATGAATTGAATTAAATTAGATTGTACTTTTGCCACAGTTCAAACTTACGAACGATAGTGTACGTTCACACTTTTCCAAACAATACGAAGCTACATGAACATTTTCCAATCACAATTTAAACCCTTCTGAACACGCAAAAACACAAACCTCGAAATACATCAACTCGAAGCCAAATAAATTGAACCACTTCAAAGCTACACGCCCCTCCGCTCAGACAAACCACCCCATAGGCACTCCTACACCTGCAAAACCTTCAAACTTTCGTCAATTACCCATTCCCTCTCCCCCAGCTCTCCCTTCCCTAAAATCAACCTACCGATACGTCCCTCGCAAAATTTGCAGAATTTACAACAGAAACGTTCTCCAGAAGCCCTACGAACCATCCACAAAATCCTGTACCGAGGTGAATCACAAATCGAAAGGGTGGTTCTCCTCCGCCTTTTCCTCGCTGTCGAATTCTCCGAAATGATCGCGCCATTAAAACACCCTTTCGGTGTGAAAACCGACAAGGGACACCAAGGCGAGCTAAATTGCAAATCAAACTTGAACTTGTTAGAAGTATAGTCGGGGGAAGATAAAAATCGGTCAGGCGGAGAAATATCGTTTGAAAAATGTAATACTCTCTGTACAAACATAATAGGTGTCCTGATACTGATGGCAGTGTATATTGGATTCGTATGTGTGAAAAATCTATTCAAGCCATTGTATAAAAATTGATTTTTCTTCTTTCCTGTTTTTCTCACAAATCTATCACTTACGAGAGAAGCGCTGAAAACACCGTCTGGAAACCGGTGTATAACACTAACTTTGACGAAGAAATGTAATTTAACCCTTCGACACTCTACTAAAATTATGAATTGCGGTCAAAAAAATTCTGATTTCACGCGTATCGTTGTAATAGCTATACCGTGTGTGATCATTTTTAAAACACGAGATACATAACCCTGCGTCATAGTGACGATAATAATATCCCGTCCCTTTCTAACTTTATTCCTAAGAGTCTCTCTTGAGTTAAGCAGTTAGACATTTGACGCCCTGCCCGAGTCTCACACGAGATAAACTGTCGATCATATGATACTTTCTGTACGAATATAACGGGTGTCCTAACACTTACTAAAGACAGTGTATATTGAGTTCGTGCATTTGAAAAATCTATTCAAGCCATCATGTTAGATATGAAAAATAATGAAAGTTTGCCCTCTCCTATTTTTCTCACAAATCTACCATTTACAAACATACCAGGTGTCCTAATACTTGCGAACGGCCAGTGTACGTTTCTACCCTGTCGCGTGTACAATACAATACGTTCGCGCGAGGTCGTGTTTGTCTATCGTGACTTGTTTGCTGGAATTGCACCGTGCCGGGTTTCTAAACGTGAAAACGTTTTGTCATGGTCGTTGTCGAACCTGTCTGATGCTCTGAACGAGGGAGCAGGGGGATGTTCAACCGGGGGTACAAAAGAGGAGAGGGTGAATTAATTCGGTAATTCGATTCCTTTCCGTGGCCGTCAATTGGCTGCACCCGCAGCTCCGTCGAACCGCGGTCACGGAATAGTATTAATTATCGTCGATCGACCAGGTAATTGAAGCGTCCCACCTAGTCCTCGTGAATGCACCTATACTCGGTCGTAATGCGGGACCATTGTTTGACGCACACCTTTAAGCACGAATTTCCACCGATCGAAAAAGATTCCGCTGAATTTGGTCATTGAGTTGCGTGCGATCGCGTGTCGATAATCATGCCAAGATTTTGCATGAATGATAGATGGTTTGTTGTAGAATCGTGAGGATCTATCGAGTGAAACTTTCTCTATGATTAGGGCTGCCATCATTTTTCATCGCCAAAACAAAAGTGTACTTTCGTTGTAATAATTAAAAAAATTAGGTAAAATAAGAATTGAAAGTGTAGCAACGATCTATTTGGGATCTTAATAAATAGATAAACTTTATTAAGAAAAGCTGTGTTATTCTTAATTTTTTCATAGAAATTCCATACACTTTGAAGCTCTTCAAAAATTAAGTCACTTGTAAAATCAAGAACTGAAAAAACCAGGACGTATGATAACCCTATCTAGGATAGAAGTAGTTGGAGGTCGTTGAATGAGTTATAAGACGTGTAAATACTTGTTTTTTGGGAAAAAATGAAGTGTCACGTTACTCTTGTTTATTATTTATTTCCTTATTTATAGAACGCTTGGAAGTGTTGATAACACAATCTCTAAGGTATTTGCAATAATCTTACGTTATTGTAAAAATATATGACAATAGTTCTCGTGGAGTATATGGAGCGTAGAAACGATTATTTGAATTACATACTTTTTTTACGATTGTATTTAATATTTTCACTTAATTCGTGCATTACTGTTATTTATTTAGTAAAGAAGTTTAGCCTAAATAAAAGAAAACATGACATGTATAGTTCGTTTACGATCAAAACACATTCTTAACGAAAGTAAAATGACAAAATTTGGAAAGGATCATTTTTCAAGTTAATTCACGTAAATCGAAATACATTTATAATATTCCGCTTTTGAGACAGAATCTGTCGCGTATATTTGCAAAAACCTCGAAAAACCTGTTCGTCTAGCAACTAGGGTCGAAAAAAAGAGAACGAAAAAAAAAAAGAAGTCGCGAAAAATACGCTGGCGAGAAAAAGCATGATTTTCGAATGCTTAATAGGACTCGATTCGAACATTCGCTTCGCTATCTCTCCCATGAGAGGTCCTTCTATCATCAGCGTATGATTCATCAAATCGTTAACGAACTTCCGCCGCAAATTTTCCCCTCTTTTTTTTTTCACATCCTTTTTTCTCTCTCTCACTCTCGCGCTTTTTTTCTACCGTTGGCGTACATCATTCGCGGTGCAATTAAACCGGAATAATTTTGAATTCTATTTTCACTCGTCGACGTAAATCGCCATCGATGACACACTCGACGAAGTTTCACCATTGACGTTCTCCCCCCGAATGACCGTCCGAATGGATCGCTCCGATGCTCGAAACGGATTCGATCCAACTGTCCATCGGTGAAAATGGTTCCTCTCCCGGCACGAGTGGCTGAAACTCCTTGAGAGAGTGCGATGCCGACCCGTATGAATATTTATATCGAGGAAATTATTTATCGGCAAATTATTTACAATTAACGTTTATCTTACCGTTGGCAAAGTTTTTGAAAGTATTGACGAAAGAACATTTTCACGTCGTAGAAATGATTGTGTAAATTTTGGCTTGTTTTTAGACAATTTTGTAACGCTTTCAGACCAAACTGTGTAGAAATAGTTGGTGTATTTTTATGTATTGTAATGTTTAGAAAGTGATATCTTTGGATTTTGTAAATAGTATTTGCGAAAAAATTGCTGGAGGAATTTCTTCGTTTTCTATTCTAATATTTTATTGTTCGTCGTGATATTGGAGAATTGAGATATTTGAAAGATAAATACAGAATAATACCATTTTAACGTGATATAACTGTTTTTTTCTTTCTTTCTCCTTTTCTACAAAAATGATACAGATATCTTTTTTACCCTCTTTTTTCTCGCCCTCCTTTTCACAAGAAAGATATAAATATTTAGGTGAATTGTAAGATTAAATAGTGGTAATGTATTTAAGCTGAAATACACGCGAAATGCGCAGAATTTTTTAAAGCCACTTTGCCCAATTCTGCTTTCAGATATGGAAGATATCTAAACGCCGGGCGTCTCAAACGAATTGATGAACGAAGCAAGACGCGCCGTAAGGGAGGATCAGTCCCAAGACATCATGAAGCAGGGAGTTCTACTGGCCCTCGCCAACTTGATCACTTCCTACGCATCTTTCCTGTAGGTAATCCTTAAATTACGTTTACAAAGTCATTGTTAAAATTATCAGTTTAATTAAAGGAACGACATTCGCAGAATTCAACAAAATTCAATTAAACAAACTCCTGTTAACAATATTACTTAAAATGATATACAAATACTGTATCAAAAAATTGATTAATTTATCAGAAACGTTTGATTTTTTATAATGATTCTAAAAGTTGAATTATAGTCACGAGATACACTAAATTCTCTACAAGTGTCAGTCCGCAAGGAACCTAAACCTGACACTTGTAGAGTCAGGGACTACATTTGACTGTCACTTGTAGAATCGGCCCTAAATTTGACTGACACTTGTAGAATCGGCCCTTTTTTTTTTACGTGAAGGTAGGCCGACATTAAATTAATTACTTAATAAGTATTAATAAGTAAATGTTGTTCAAATTATATCGTGTTTGATATCATTTTCATCGGAAAAATCTCACCAACGTGTTAAAAAAGATTTCAGATGAAAAAAAGTAAAATTAAAGAAATTATATTTTTCTATTATGAATTGTCGAGCCGTGAAATCTCGTAAAGGAAACCGACTGGTGTAGCGTTACACGCTTGAAATTAAGCGAGCGAGATAACATAGGCGCAGCAATGACGCAGGCCTAGGCGTAGGACCATCTATACTGACACTTGTAGAATCCAAACTGGCTGACACTTGTAGAGAATTTACTGTAGTCATATTGAATAATTGAATGATTGAATAATTGAAAAGAAAAGATAACGTTACACATGGTACCATCAAGTTTCAATTCTTTAATTACTCAATCTCACTGTGATAATTAAAATAAAATGAAAATTATATACCTCAAGCTCTGATTTATCAAATCATCAAAACTCTACTAATAAAAAGAATAAAATTTTTCAAAGATATTAATTATTCAATCTCATTGATAATTATAATAAAATAAAAAATTATATACCTACATACCTCAATCCCCGATTTATCGAAACATCGTCGTAAAAATAGTCAAAAAATTACAAACACGGAATATTGGAATATCTGGGACGTGAATATGGCGTGTCAATCAACTAATAACGAAGACACTCGAGCTGATTAAGTTATACGGTTGATCTTGTAGGATGGACGAGCTGGATCGAGGATGCATTCTCCAGCGTCCGTTCGACGGGAAACCGTAAATGCAACGATGGAATATTCGGAGTGGGACGGACATCGTAATGCAGATCGTTGGAACCCTGTTTGATTTGAACCCTCTTGTTAGACAATTAACCCAATTCGAACCGGTTGCTGAATAACCCTTCCGTTCCTTGGCGTTCATCTCATAATTGTTCATTTCTCTGTTCCATCGTGCGGACAATTTAATTAAGAATTTCGAAAACCTCTTAAACATCACCGCCACTATACATAGTTCCGATACTCTTCTTCTGGTAGAATGGCTTGTTGAAGAAACAGAATTATTTTTCCTTCGAAAAAATTTTTCCACATTTTATGTGCTGCTGAAAACTCTGAAAATGACACATTAGCAATTTTCCAAAAATAGTGAACATTCGATACACAGCAAGTATTGTCATTTGTAACTTTTCGACTTTGCTTTCTGACCTAATTTTTCAGTCACGTTTTAGTTACATAAAAATTCACTTTTGGAAAGTCGCTAATGGGTCATTTTCACCCGGTTGGTAGTTCCAGCGTTAACGAAAGGCTTGAATAAAAATTTAGCAACGGATTTAATTTTGTCTTCTGCTATAACAGGTGGAATTATTTTAAAATATCGACATTTCTAGTGTAGACCTAACCGTATCACACGGTATACAGTTCTCTAACTTGGAGGGAAAAACCACTTCCAGTCCAATACTTTAAGGAAGTACACCAACCTAAGGCCTCTTAAATAGGTGAAACTTTGAGAATTTTTTTCATCGGTAACTACTAAACGAGAAGTTCCAATTGTTTCACAGGATATAAATGTAACTTTCACCTTTCTTCTCCTATTTTGAAGAACTGAAAATGTGACAAAACGGAGGAGTTATTGCGAAACCCCTTCTGTTAGAACATCGATCGAAACGTCTGAAATAAAAAATTCCGTTTGCTTCGTTAAATAAAAATGTATCATCTATGCAACGTAACCTACAATGTTTCCATATGTCAGTAATTAAATTTTTTAGAAACGTTTAAATCTGATTCAACATTGTTTTTGGTAGAAAGAGCTTCTTCCTCTTCAAGTTGCCACCGGTTAATTAATTAATTTCAAATACTTGTGAAAAAATTGAAGGACCAACCAGATACCTATCGATCAGCTGTTGGAAAAGAAACGAAGAGCTCGGAAAACTCGCCGTTCGTATCCTTACTTGCATAACTCCGACTGTAAACAGGTCAACCGTCTTTTAATAATTTCAATATGCAAATCCCAGGCGCAAGGAGAGAGCAGCGCATCCAAGCGTGTTCCACGTGTGTGCACGTCGTCGTCTCTGTACATTTGCGAGGGAGGAGGAGTCTGTTGATGGCGGATCCATTTCGTCGAAAGAAACACGGGGAAAGAATCGAGGGATCGGGGGAAAAGGCACGATGTCAGCAAACAAAAGCTACCGTGCCGGTGGTATAGAGGCGATCCTGGAAAATAGAGTGGAACAGAAACACAGCCGGGACTAGTGAACGGTGGTGTCCGATCGGGCAGCTGTTTTTCATCGTGACCTAAAAGAACGGACAGAGGCATTAAAATGCCGCTTTATTTCGGTTTAAAAACGATCCCAGCCGCAATTTTCGTTCACCAAAACCACCCCTGCCATCCCCGCCAATGACGAAATTCCCTCCTCGTCCCAATTTTCACGCTGTGTGTACCGATCGTGAGTGTGGAACACACGCTTGGTGTGTACACACGTGGTGCTTGTGCCGCGAAAACATAAACGAAGCGGCATCGAGAACACATACGAGGTATAGAGAGACAGAGAGAGGAAAGGAGGAAGAGTGAGTTGAAAAGTTGGACGTTTTATAGTTTCTCTTTTTTTTTTTTGTATTTTCGAGAGAGCTTTTTCCTGGTGAAAGAAAAATAAAGATAGAGGGAGGGAGAGAGGAGAGTGGTTCGATTTGAAGTGTGGCAATCTTGAGGTTTATTAGCTGACCGATGGGAAGGGTATGTTTGTGTTGCCTCTTCCATTTTTCTTGTAGGTTTGTTCTTGTTTTCAAGAAAGCGAGTAATAGTGGAACGCTTTGTATCGAGGCGCGTGAAAGTAATTTCGACGTGGAGAGGAGTTGCAGGAGGTAGAAACGCGCCGGAAAGAGGACAAATATGTGTACGTTGTTTCAAAGGGGAAACGAATCATAGGAGGCTCTTGGTATACCTATACGCTGATCAGAATAGGCTCCGAAGCTTTTCCAGAATGAACTTTGGGCAAGAGACATAATTGGAGAAGCTGGTTTGCGAAAAATCTGAAACAATTTCAAATTGAAATCGTACATTCTTTTTTCATAAATGGTAAAAGAGTACAAATTTCAAAATTTATGTTCACCGAGTCAGTTTTTTGACTTTAAAAGTTAAGTGGAATGTTGCATTCTAGATTACAAAACGCACACTTTAAATTTACGAATTTCTGTTTCATTAGTGGTAAAAGAATATAAATTTCAAAATTTTATGTTTGCTCAAAAAATAACTAAAATGGTGTACTCAAAGATTGCAAGAAAAATTTATTTAACCACCTTTACGCGTCTATCTATTTACCAACCAGCACGCGTAATTCAAAATTTGTTGAACTTATCGCTCATTGAACTGACACACCAATCCTTATCTCAACTGAGATCCAAATTTCTTCATATCTCCGTGTAACGTATCCAGAGATCCATATGCACTATTCTCAGCCGCATTCTCCATTTCCTTCTTTTCATCCCCCTGCATACCCTAAGGCAATCTCTCCCCCGCAATTGCTGTGTGACACAAAGTGACTTCGTATATGGTAGCTGAGACACTGTTACGATCGTCATCTCGTGAACGTACCCGATGCATTCGCATGTACAGAAGCCGGTTCCTGGTGCACGTGGTTCCCAGAGGTTGTCTCGCATATCGATACGTTTACACTGGCGCGAACACCGTCGCCGAGAAGCGTGCAAGTGGATCGAAGGCGTATAACGTAAACCGGTTGGAGGGTCGGAACCGCGATATTCCAACTAGTTGCGTCGCAGTTTGCGGACATGCGAACACGATCGACAGTCGATTACCATGCAAGCTGAAATTGACGGAGCAATTAAAGCTCTTTGGGCAATTAGCAACATCGAGAAGTGTCCATTAACGAGTCGCGAATTTGTTGCGTGCGAGATGTGACGCAAACTCAATAATTTGATTGTGGTAGTTACAGGGAGAAGCGAGGGAATGGAATTCGAGAGGGAATTGTGAAAGAATTGGCGAATTTTTGAGTGCCTGAAGTTTTCGAATTTCTCGAGTCTCTGAAATTTTCGAATCTCTGAGTCTTTGAAATTTTTGATTCCCTGTGTTTTTCGAATTTTCTAATTTCCGAGTTCCTTTTTTTTTCAAATTATCAAATTTTCGAGTCTGAATTTTTCAAACTTTCGAATGTTCGAGTTTTAGAATTGCTGGACATTTGAATGTGAGAACTTTTAGATTTCTGAAATTGACGAATTTTGGAATAGGGAAATATTCAAATTTTTAAAATTTTTGAATTTCCAAATTTATTAAATTTGTTAAAATAAGAATTGAGAAATTTTCCAAATTGCAGCAGTGCCAAATTTTCGAATTTTCGTAACTTTGGAATTGAAAGATTTTGAATTTAAAATAAGGAGAAATTCATTTCAATATACTAATATTTCTTCCTATAAACCAGTGGCTCGATATGAAAAAAAATAGTTCAGCAGCATAGTACAGCAAAAGAAGATTGTGTCATGAAAAGATAGTCTCTCATTATAATATTCAACCTTCCCCTCTAGCCATTTCTTGTATCTTTACACAGAAAGGAGCTACATCTTGCCCCAGTTTCTAGAATCGCTCTATACAAACACTACTAGTATAAAATATCTAGCTAATCACTGTACTAAATATTCCACCTTTTATGGGCTTCAATATGAAAAGGTACCCACTTTCACGAAGCTGTAATTTATGAAAAAAAATTAAGGGAGAGCTCCATCTTGCTCGAGTTCATCATAAATCTCTTTTCCTGTTTAATTGTTCAATCCTTCATTCTTCGTAAATTTAATACTTCAATTCAATAAAATATTTAATCATAAAGAATGAAATCTTTTTTAAGTTCTGCTTAACTCTCCTAATTTTTCTCCTCTTTCGTTCTTAAGTTTCTTGAATTTCTTCTCTCTTAAATTACTTGAATTTCATAAGTCACTTCAATTTATTAAATTTCTCAATTATCATAAAAATCCCAAATCTTCCACTTCTAAAATATCTTCTTAAAGAATTTCTCTTTTTCAAATTCTGCTTAACTTTTGCAACATTTCTCATTTTTTATTCCTAAAGTTCTTCAATTACTTAAATTTCATAAGTTACCTACTTCAGTTTATTAAATTTCTCAATTATCATAAAAATCCCAAATCTTCCACCTCTAAAATATCTTCTTAAAGAATTGAATCTTTTTCAAATTCTGCTTAACTGTTGCAACATTTCTCATTCTTCGTTACTAAAGTGTTAAAATAAGAATTGAGAAATTTTCCAAATTGCAGCAGTGCCAAATTTTCGAATTTTCGTAACTTTGGAATTGAAAGATTTTGAATTTAAAATAAGGAGAAATTCATTTCAATATACTAATATTTCTTCCTATAAACCAGTGGCTCGATATGAAAAAAAATAGTTCAGCAGCATAGTACAGCAAAAGAAGATTGTGTCATGAAAAGATAGTCTCTCATTATAATATTCAACCTTCCCCTCTAGCCATTTCTTGTATCTTTACACAGAAAGGAGCTACATCTTGCCCCAGTTTCTAGAATCGCTCTATACAAACACTACTAGTATAAAATATCTAGCTAATCACTGTACTAAATATTCCACCTTTTATGGGCTTCAATATGAAAAGGTACCCACTTTCACGAAGCTGTAATTTATGAAAAAAAATTAAGGGAGAGCTCCATCTTGCTCGAGTTCATCATAAATCTCTTTTCCTGTTTAATTGTTCAATCCTTCATTCTTCGTAAATTTAATACTTCAATTCAATAAAATATTTAATCATAAAGAATGAAATCTTTTTTAAGTTCTGCTTAACTCTCCTAATTTTTCTCCTCTTTCGTTCTTAAGTTTCTTGAATTTCTTCTCTCTTAAATTACTTGAATTTCATAAGTCACTTCAATTTATTAAATTTCTCAATTATCATAAAAATCCCAAATCTTCCACTTCTAAAATATCTTCTTAAAGAATTTCTCTTTTTCAAATTCTGCTTAACTTTTGCAACATTTCTCATTTTTTATTCCTAAAGTTCTTCAATTACTTAAATTTCATAAGTTACCTACTTCAGTTTATTAAATTTCTCAATTATCATAAAAATCCCAAATCTTCCACCTCTAAAATATCCTCTTAAAGAATTGAATCTTTTTCAAATTCTGCTTAACTGTTGCAACATTTCTCATTCTTCGTTACTAAAGTTCCTCAACCTTTTCCCTCTTAAATTACTTAAATTTCATAAGTTACCTCGGTTCATTAAATATCTCAATGATCGTTAAAAAAAAGTCCCCCAAATCTTCAACTTTCTAAAACGGTCCCTTTAAAAAAACGCCTCCTCCGACTTGTCTCCAGTGTTACAATTTACATTACGACGTCAGGATTGATCGTTTCATTGGAAAATGTTTCAGAGCGGCTGCTACAGGGGCGAAAGCGTCCACGAGGCAACGGACGCAGAGCAACAATCACAGCAACATCAGCGAGCTGCTGGACAATCTGCTTCGCGGTTACGACAACAGCGTTAGACCAGACTTCGGTGGTCCGCCGGCCACGGTTGAGGTCGACATCATGGTGCGCAGTATGGGTCCGATTTCCGAAGTCGATATGGTTCGTATCTCGTCCTTCCCTTTTGTTCTTCCCCGTCGCTCGATAACCTCTCCAATTGCTTCAAGTTTCATTCATCGTTACCTAACGCTGTACAAATTCGATTTCACTCGCACTGTCATTTAACCAGCAATGGACACGCTCTTGGGGAATTTAAACTGTTGAGAGTATAGAGCGCGTTGATTAAGTTCGTTGTCACGCTGAAGGGAGTAAAAAGAAAGTGTGAACGAGTTAATTGGCAGTAAACGGGATCTTATGTAAATTGGTTTTGAATTTTTCTTTTACAGTCTGGGTCTTTTATGACCCAAGCGAAATTTCACAGGCGTATTTCTTCGAAACGGATTTTTATTGGAAAAAGTTTTAAACATTTGATTTAACGAACAGTTGTGTAATGTAGTGGAGACTTTGATAAGTACTCCAGAATTTTTTCAGATTTTTTTAAAGCTTAAAACGGTGAAAAAATTAGGCTTGAACATAGACTAGTTTGCCTACGAAGTGTGAGAGATTATGTTTGCCTACGGAGGCATACAAAATTTTAGGATAATAATATTGACAGATAACTTACGTTGATAGTAACTTTCAATTATTGTATATTGAACAATTTTTAGTTAGAGACAATTTTTCGCTAGAATTTTGCAACCAATTATGTTCCTCGTGTTCTAAAATATTGTCAAAAATGAGAAAAATATTCTTTTTGGTTGGTTGTTATAAAGAATAAACGTATGTAACGAAAACGAAATTTCTGTGTAGACTTACTCGATGGACTGTTACTTCCGGCAGTCATGGGTGGATCGACGTTTGGCTTTTCAAGGTGGCAAAGAAACTCTAGCGCTCAGTATATCGATGCTGGCGAGAATCTGGAAGCCGGATACCTACTTCTACAACGGGAAGCACAGTTACTTGCACACTATAACCAGTCCGAATAAGTTCGTCAGACTCTACCAAGACGGCAGAGTGCTGTACAGTTCAAGGTAAGTGATTATTACAGTTCTACAGTTGCTGTAAATGATTGTTAATAGTGTTTCCTTCCAGTGTATCATTATTTTCTTAATTTTTAAAACTTCATCTCAGATAATTAATTATTTTCTTAATTAATACAAATTTGTTCATTCTTAAAACTTCGTCTCAGAACCTATTGTCTTAATTGATACATATCTCTTAATTTCTCGAAGCTTCGTCCCAGAAATTAAAGAAATTTTCAAGAATTCCATATCTTAGAAATTTTTAATTAGATCATTTTAATGTGTATCTTTTTCTGATGTTTCCTTCGGACACTTCCAATTACAGTTTGCTTATTTTGAAACATCACAATTTAGGATTTTTCGTCTAGAAAATTTTATGCGACAATTCTTTATTTAAGACTGTAAGAAACGGTAAGCACAAAGTCAAGAGTACCTTTGTGCGGTGCTTAGAGCCCGAAGAAGTTCTTAATTTGGGGCCTCTGTAATAAGACCATTTGCTCTTTAGAAGCTCCGGAATACAGTCTTTGCGCCACAGGAAAAGGTACGAACACTTAAAAAATTCAAGATCCTGAAATTTATAACACTTTTAAAATTCCCTTTTTTTTTTAACTTCTTTAAAGTTCCCTCGTCAAACCCTTTTCTATATAAAAAATTCAGTGCCAAAACTGATGAATTCGTGTTTCTAATATTTTCGTGCTTAATAAAATTCTTAGCTCGAAAAAGCTCCTAATCGAACGAAAGAGAAGTAAGGATAATCGAATAAAGAAATGAAGTAAGAAAGATCAAGCAGCACCTAACACAAACGTGTAAAACGACATTGTACCAGATCTCGCAATATCGTCCAATCAATCGCAATCAGTCCGTAAAGTTTATGGGATTGTTCAAGTTTTTCCCATTTTATTGCCGTTCGACAGTTTCACAATCGTCCTTCGCTTTATCGAGCATGATGCAGCGATTCCGAGTTCTGCTTCCCTTGACTTGCGTTTATGTTAAACACGTCTACAGCCGCGTCGTCGGAAAAACTCTTGTCTAGGATTCAGGAGTAAATGATGAATTCGTTCCCGATCCAGTGTTTTTGGATCGGGTTCAAAATTATCACGAACTTAGTCGCCTGCGTAAGATTCCCGACGTTTGTCCGCCGTGAAACGCGGCGATCGACTTGCCTGGTGTGCAAAAGAACGTACATCAAGCAAAGATGGAGAAATATTGCGCTCAACTAGGTTACATATTATCTACTGATACTTTTAGCTAACTTTTCTTCGTTGTCGTAGAAGAAGATCAAGGATAAATACCGTCACGAAACAATTGTAACGTTTTGAACTATGAACTTTGGCTTAACCCTTTGGGGGCTCCTTTGTCGAGTGTGGCTCGATATCAGTTTCATTCACAGAATGAAGTCATTTTTAAATTGCCAGTTTAAATATGTATTATATTTTGCAATATTCTTTTTACCTGGATGAGCAATAGGTACACATACATAAAAAAAAGTTATTTAAATTGGTTCCTGTCAACCAAATGTCTTTTGAAGTGCGTTTCAAATAAAATTCTTAAAATAATAGGGAGTGATTGAAAAGAAAAATTAAAAAGAGAATTTGGAGTTCAAAGGGTTAAAGGGTGGACCACCCTTGAGGCCCGAAAATGATACCTAACTTTGGAGAAAATCGACTCTATCGAAAATTTTTCATAAGTGAGTTATTATACCGTCCTTGAAGACTGTAAAAGTATTTTTTCACTTAGTTTCTTTACAAAATGGCGGCGCTACAGTCGCATCGCCGAACCTCTATTTCAAGTATCAAAAATCTTCATCGTCTACGTGTGAATTACTAAAGAAGAAAAATATCGAATTTTACAGAAATGGTGAACATACGAAGAAAGTATCGCACTTTTTCCTTAACCTTCAGAGTTGGAATGACACACCGATACTCGCCAGTATATTATTTAACTGCTCGTTAATCAGAGAAGAACTTGAATGGAACAGCTGAGTAATTAAAAAATTGCGAGGAGGAAGCTCTAGATTGGGTTTAGCTGGTGTTCTTCGCCCCTGTTGATGCTGTTAGGGTGTTTCTTCATCTCCAACGTTTCTCTGTACTTTCTGGAGAAATATCCTTTCGGTTTAGCAATTTGCTTGGTTGAAGAAAATCTTGTGCCCTGTTATCGCTTGATGTTCTGAAATTGCTGACTGAATGTGACCCAATCCTGGCGCATCGCGCGTCTTCTTCAATGCTTAAATGCATAATTTCTCCAAATGTAACGAAGCATGTTGAAATTGCCAATTTATATGCTTGAAAATGATGGAAAAATAATGTTAAATAGTCCAAAGTTAGCCTCCACTTTCAAAGCAAAAAACCTTCCCTTACTCTTAAAGCAGGCATTGAAGTTCGCAATTAGAAGGTAACGTAAAACACTGAATTAATAATTTTCGCTCTGCATCATCTCGCAGTAATATTTCTCAATAATTACATAGAACTAGGCTAGCACAATTTTACTTGAAATTAAATCACTCGTAGAACGATTCTAAACCGAAATTATCGACTAACGATAAATCTTCACTATCAGCCAGCACACGATAGTATTTCACCTTTGAAATTCGACTGGAAAAATCTTATCGTCTCTGCTACACGTTCGCAATTTAATTCGAACATTATAACACCGTGGATCACGTGAACGAGTCGTTAGACGGTGTCCAAATTGACACGATCAATTATTGGCTACCTGTAAACGGGAATTTCAGTCAAGAGCACAAAGAGTAACCGCCTGTGAGGCCTAAGGTTCTATACTCTGCCGTCGACAGAATGTGACATCTAAAATTCTCTCCGTTTAGCTCGACAGAAGGCTTCGGCAATTCGGCTATTCCGAATTGTCCGTCCAAGACAAATAGAAATACAGAGACGTGGTCTACACTTACATACATACGCGACGCACACAGTGAAACACAGAGAGAAAGATATAGATTGAGAGAGGAAGGGAGAGAAAGGTTGGAATCAAGCGATGTACGTTTCCCCTTTGTTAACCCATTCCCTTTCTCTTGACCTAGTCTTCTGGATCGGCTCTATTGTGCACGCCAGAATTAACCCTTGAGCTCAAGGTGCCTCTGCACATGG